GAAATTAAGCTGCAGGAACAAGAGGTAGTGCCTCTTCTTCACCCCTTATCATGCACTGCCTATCTATTCTTGAGGATGTGGTTCATAACGAGAACATCAGACTAGGTGAAACACCCCTACCTTAGGGCTTCTATTTACCTTTCTGCACCACTTTTTCCAAAATGTTCATGTAGTTCTTCTGGGCAATGCCACTCAGTGACGTCAGCTGAGACTTTGCTATCAGCTCCAACAGCTGTGGATAAAAATAGAAGTCGCAAGGCTTAGGGTAGAGAGATAAGTTTCTAATCCTGACTCCTAGTCATGTGACACAGCAAAACAGTTCAGATACTTGTTTGCTACTTGAAAATAAAAGCTAGACCCAGCCGCAGAACAAGCCAGTGCAAAGGGGGAGAGAGCAGACAGTAAATAATTAAACCCACATTGAAAAGGGAGGGTGGAAATAAGAGGCATTTCTACTGATCTTTAGGCAGAACCTTTATTTCATGGCTCAGAGATGCAGGGAAACCACAGGGCAGCGCTCAGCGAGGCTGTTCACACCGAGGACAACGAGCGGCAGACGTCACTGCCCGGCGCTGCTGCATAAACAGGCAGTGGCAGGAGGGTGCACAGGCAAATTCCCCTTTGGATGGGGAGGTTATTGGGGGGGCACTAATGAGAATCAGATTCCACAATTTACGTCACACTTGCTGGTTGCACAGGCTTTGTCAGGGCACTGTCACCAATACTGAAAGGTTAAGGACTGTGTTTACAAACCAATCCTTCCCCCCCCCCCCCCCCCCCCCCCCCCCCCCCCCCCCCCCCCCCCCCCCCCCCCCCCCCCCCCCCCCCCCCCCCCCCCCCCCCCCAAAAAAAAAAAAAAACACCCTGATTCTCCCAAGGTTTTCTCTTCTGCTGCAACTTCAACAATACTAAAGCATTCACCTTTCCCTGCTGGTCCTTGCTTACCTGCTAATCTTTCCTAAAGGAGGCCTCACTTTTACTTTCTGTTACTGATTTACTCCCCTTCACTGATCTTTGACTCAGTACTAGCTGCATGCTGAACGGGAGCAGCATTTCCCAGGGGGAAGACACCCTCTCCCCAGCTTCGTGCTGCCAGAACAGCCACAGAAGTTTTCCCCTGGATCCTGCTCTGCAGCACATGTGCTCTGTGATCTTCCAAGCCTTTCTCACTTCCTCCCTTCCCCCAACATTATATAAATACACAGACTGTCCACATGTTATTCCATTTGTTTTGGATGTACATACCCTTCTGTTCTAATTTAGAAGGGAAAGGGAAAACCTTTTATGTTACCAATCAATCAACACATTACCACATGACTAGCTTATTAATCCTTTATCATCCGTAGTTCTGGAATCCCTTTGCTGGCACCGCAGCGGGTAAGAGAAGGTGCAAGTACTTGTGTCAAGTAACTAAGATGGGTTTTGACAAGAGTTGATAAGTCATGAGTTGACCTGTTTGCCCTCTTATAAGAATGCCAGGAATTTATCCATAAAGTTAGGGGCTGCTTGCCAGAAGGCAGGTTGCTCAGAGAAGGTTTTATGCAAGCACTTGTCCCGGGCACCAGCATGTGACTGCTGGTTAGGAGCAGGGAGGCTGCCTGGGCTGACCCATCTCCTCTTCCGTTTACTTTCCAGACCAACAGCATCAACAGATGGCTTTGAGATTATGTTCTATTAATAAACCTGCACCTCATATGACTGGAGGGAAAAAAAAAAAACACAAAAAAATAGATTAAAGAAAAAGACCTACATTAACACTTCTGTAAAGGGTGGGCAGCCCATTTTGAGTCACTCTTTTTGGGAAGCAAGATATACAGGAGAGTATTTGCTGGAAGCAGCAAGACCACCTACTGATGGCCCTCAACTAAAGAAAGGACACAAAAACTAGATACTCCGTAGCGCAAGACAGTTCACAAGGTACTTGGAAAAATTAGAAGTTTTTTTTCTAATTTTATAAAATACCAGAAGTACAAAAAAGTAGAAAAAGTCAGTGCACAAAGTCTCTGTAACACTGCTTGTACTCAACCATAAAATTTTGATTGTCACAATCAGCTTGCCACTTCTATCTGCACAATAGCCACACATGCACCTCGATCAGCTCTTCTGTGCTTCAAACTGCTGCTGTTCTAGAAGGGATGTGGAGGCCGCTTCCTCCAGGCAGGGTGGTAGCAACACAGTGCTGAAAACACTAAAACGCTCCCAAAGGATAAGCGCCAGGCAATGCAGTACCACAAAATATAGGGCCATTCTTTAGGAGGAACATGGATAGATAACAGAGCTCTTTGAAATATGTTCAATTAGTATGAAATTAAGTTAACCAAGAAAACGGATTCAACTTTGTCTTGCCTGTGTTTATGAAAGTTCAATTTATGTTCAGTGCAGCAGCTCAGATGTCATGTCACCTCCCTTCCCCTGCAGCAATAAACCCAGGGTGAAATTCCATATGGAACTATGTTGTGAATATTTCCAGGCCTACTCCACTCCCTGGGGACTGCTGGCTGAAATGGATGGCTACCCTTCCACACCAAAACACATCTTTTTATTCTCATGTGCTCATACCCGAGACATGCAGAACCAGTAAGTGATAGGGTTCAATCAGGCTCAAACCCATCTAGCCATATCACCCCAGTGCAGTGAGGATTTGTTGGGGTGACAAGCCCAGACTAGGGTCTCACATTTAATAGACTGCTGAACGGGGGTCTACAGCATTATAAAAAGGCAGTGTTGTCATCTGCAGCAGACTGATGGATGCGGATTAACGCTAAGCAGGGTAAGAGGGCTGGAGAGCTGCAGACGGGCTGCGTTACGGTGCAGCTGCAGTCAGTACAGCCCGCACTTGACTGAGAGGGACAGATGGTGGGAGAGAGTGCAGAGGGAAAGGTTAGCAGTAATTTTAAAAGGCCTTTCAAAAACGCTAAGTAATTGCATTCCAGCTGATTTGGAGCTGGGAGCCCTACATTTCCAGAAAATAGGGCATAAGATCCTAATTCTTTGAACTGTTCACAAGTGAGGGGAAAAAATGACCTGGTAGCTCTTCTTCAAACAGCTTTTCTTACTTTGCCTGCATTTTGTTTATTCTCAGGGGACTGTGACAGTCAAGGAGCAGAGACAGGATGGGATGCTCTGAGTCATTCCAGAGCCTCCACAAAGTAGTCAGGAAGCAATGAGCAAAACCCAGCTCCCTTCCCTGCAGATGCACATTCCCTTACTGCACAAGGAGCCACAAGGGCCTTTTTGCAGCAGGGATGGCCACATCTCAAAGGGCAGTGCTGTATTGTGATAAAAAGCACAAATACCAAACTCCTGAAGACTAACTTTACATTTGACTGTGTACATCTGGGTAACCTCGGCTGCCTTCTGCATGAATCCATCAATTCCTTCCAGCTGTGGATCTGGCTCTTCAATCTAAACCGCCAAGAGAAACTTACTGCAATGAAAATCTCCTCCCAAGCCCTTCTGCACTGAGAGGGCAGAACTGTTTTATGGCCAAAGCCCTACCAGCTTTTCAGCTGGAAGGGAGAACAGCAACAGAGTTAGTGATTCATGGTGTGGGCCATGAAGATGGGTCAGCACAGATCCAGGACTTCAGAACTAAGGTGCAAAAGAACCATAAAATTAAGAGCCCACTTTAGCAGGCTGTACACTGTCTAGGTCACAATATTCCAGGAGAGCTGTGCCATGCACCTTAATCTGACATAAGATTTTATGGGCAGAAACGGGGCCTTCCCTGGCAAGATGTTGCCACACAGCTACCACATGACAAATCCTTTTGAAAGCACTGGCCTGCAAGACCTCACCTGGCATCTGAGCAGGGATGTGTCTAGAGGGAACCGACAGCTTCGGGGCTGCAGCCACTTCTGTATCTGTGCTCATCTTGCTTATGTTCACAGCACATTTCCAGTCTTTTTTAAATCTTGAAACAGTTCTACTTTCTCTGCTGTTAAAGATTGAGAACAGATTGGATCCCCCCAAGTCAATCCACCACCTTAGTAATCCACTCTAAAACCTGAACACTTTCATGTAACACAGGCAGATGCTACAGCTAAAGCCATCAGCAAAGACCAAGTTAAAGTGCTAATACCTTTGCTTAAAGACTTGAGTGTTCTGTGAGCAGACCATCAAGACAAGATAAACGTTGGAAGAAAATTTCTCCTCCACTTCAGTTGCATGAACTCAGTGTCTATAGCTCATAAATATATAGTTATATAAATATGTAATATATTACAATATATAATATTGTATTTGCTTGTAAAGCACAAGCTTTTTGCCACTTACACCTCCACCTCAAAGAGGTGCTCCTTTTCACAGCAGAACTGGAAGCTCTTAGGTTGGGAATATCTCAAAACAGACACTTCTGTACCACTGAAAATAAAAACAGTGTTGAAATCACTACCAGACTTACGTTCAGCTCTACTCAGAGTAATGCTGCAAGAAGGTCACTGCATGGACCAACTGCTCAGCCTGAAAGTATGTTTTGTTATCAGAGGTAACATACTGGTAACCTGCTTTTCTATTCAGAAAGGTGGGATTCAGAAAGCAGCAGAATCATTAGCTTCTGTTTCTATCCCTTCTTTTTCAATGGTCATCCTATTTTCTCCCTGCCTCCCTGGAAGACTGTCTTTGCAGACTAAATACAATGACATTGATCAGACGCCCTGAGCAATGGGTGGAATTAAGGAACAAAGAGAGAGGGAAAGAAATTGTGTGCTAATATTCAAGGCATTTTCCATGTGACACATCTGTGTTCTCTAGGAGGCCTGTGATTTGCAAGGGACCATAAACAAGATTGACATCAAGGCAGAACTTTTCATGAGCAAATCCAGCACTAAGTATTTTACGAGCCACTATCCACCAGAGACTTGGCTGATACAACCTTTTCATTTAAGTAGTCAGTTTTATATTTGATCAACAGTACCAGGTTTAATATCTTCTTTATCTGCCAAACCACACAAGTCAGCCTCAATTAGAAAGCTTCATACTTCAGCTGTGCTTAAAACTCCAGTGGGGAGGGGAGAATTGTCTTACAAGCTCAGCAAGAGAGGTAATTTGAAACAGGGATATGTGCTCTCTTTCATACCGTATATTGCTACTTTTGATAACATAGCAGGGAGTGATAAGGCTGGAACTGAGAATTACCCATTTCCTCTCTTGTTTGGAAGTCCTTAAACACCATGGATCAAACTCACTGATGAGGAAAGGCCAAGTTGAGATCTCAGTAATTGTTTTATGTTATAAAGATTCTAATTTTATATTGAACCTTGATTCCCACCCTTCCCCTGCCCTTTTATGCTGGTCCTCAGAGGGGAAAAAGGGGGTGACTCAACATGTGACAGCCCTCTCTTCAGTAACTTCACAGCAATCCAAGTTTGCTCCTCAAAAATCCAACAGGAATGCTGCCTGATCCTCACACTGCTGCACAAGGCACCCATCATGTCAGAAAGTCAGGCAGAGTAACGAGCTGAGCACACGGCAGAGTCTGTCCCAAGGCTTCTGGCAGATCAGCTACCTTTTGACCAGGGGGAAAAAAAGAAAAAAAAAAAGAAAAAAAAAAAACAGGGAAAGTCTGGAGAGCCAAATACAAGTTCTATTTTATAAGTCTTCAATCAAATACAAGAGGAGGAATAGCCTTTTTATAGGTATTACTTTGAAATGAAGAGTTATAGCCCTTCATAGCTATTAGTTGGTAAAATAACCTCCCTGAAGATGACAAGGCTGCAAATATACATATCCAGTATCAGAAAACACTAAGTACCTCAAGCCTGATGACCATCTTTTCTGGCCAAGCAGGAAGACAAGTGGTTCCAGAGCTAGAAAAGCCCAAGTTTCTGTGGATTGGCATCCTGCTTTGCCTCCTACAGCATCCCCATTCCCTCCTGCCAGCCCTACAGCACTTCCAAGCCATTCCCAGTGCCCTTTCCACACAGACTAAAGTCATCCAGGAGGCCTGTGCCCAACCCAGTGTGACAGAGGAACTAGACAACAGTTGAGGGGAGCAAGCTGAGCTGAACCTGCTCAGATCTCTTTCCACCTCCCCACTCTCTTCACAGACTTTTCATGACATTTGACTCAGCCTACGGAAAGCAATACCCATGTTGCTTGCTCCAGAACCTAAAACCTAAACAGCTGGTACCTCACCAGTGATTAACTGCTGATGAGATGTGAAAAGGAGCCCTTTATAAACAGCCTCAAGTTAACAACAGATTTTTAACTATTGAAGTCCAAGCCTTGATAAGCATTCTGAAATCTGAGATCAATTTGCAGGTTGCATGTACATAAACCAAAAAGTAGGCTCAGACCTTGGGCAACAAATACGTGTGAAAACTACCACCCGTGGAGCATCCTTGGCTGGATGTAAAGCCTCCAGGTGTTATGCAAAGGCACAGCTTGGGGAAGCCTGGTGCTTACAACTCCCTCCTGCAGGGCTAAGGCTGTCAGGGCCAACCAAATGCTTCTCCCACTACAGTCAACACAGAGTAATCACGATCCTTGACAGAAGTCAGATCACAGGAGTTAATGCACACTTGGATTCCAAGGCTCTCCTGTATCAACTTTACAGGTGGCGAATCTCACAACCCTCAAGGCCATGCTGGTATCTCCGCTTGCAAGCAAAGCTAGCCCCTTTGTGCTACAGCCTCTGCAGAGCTCTCCACTCTCCTTTTGGGACTGCAGGAATTACATTTAGAAGCTCCACTGAGAAAACAGAAATACAAACCAGTAACTTCTGCAGTTACTTTTTCCAATTTCATGACCAGGAATGCAAGAAAAAGGGCAGGTCACCTATATCACCACCACTTCCCAGCCTCTCCATTTTAACAGGTCCAGAATTAGGACAGACACATCTTTAGAATATGTCTGCAAGACTTCTATCAATTACTTTAATAATAAAGCTAAACACCCTCCACGTTCCAGTTTGGACCACACTTCCCATTACAAACTTGTGATCATTTTAGTCTCCAAGACCACAACAAAATAAATTCCTGCTTACACTCACCCTGACAACATAGTTGAATCGTCTGGAGTCTAGGATGGCGCTTGAGAAGTCAAGTCTGTTGAAAGCTTCTCCCAAGGTGCAGTAACCATGACGCTGAGAAGAAAAAGGCTGGGTCATATTTTGGTGTACAGAAGTACAGACAGCACCAGGGAGACATGACCCAGGGCAACTCAATTTAGAAAGCCCTTGGGTAAAAGGCATGGGACCCGCTCGCAGCAAGAGGCAGCAAGCCAGTCTCCCCTGCAACTGCACTGACTGACGTCACCCCAAGCACAGTCAGGACTGTGGTTGTTTCCCAAAAGTGATCCAAGCTCTGTTTATGACCCTTAGAGAGCTCAACTCCATCCCTCCAGGATTTATGAGACACAACAAGCCAACGCATTCCTAGGGCTCAATATATAGCCTAAGTTCATGAAGAGTGGGGTTTCTTTGGACTGGATGTCAGGACTGTGGGGCTTCTTTGGGCTCTATGTCAGGACTGTGCTGGGCAATTGCCAAGAACAATATTATGGTTTGGTGTGCATTTTTTTTTAAAAAAAACAAACAGAAAAAAAGAGGAAAGCACACAAGTCATACTTTAAACACATGTACAGAGCCTTGCATAGCAAGTCCTGGCTCCCGATTAGGGTTTAAAATCACTACTGTGATTCCAACCACAAGCTCCATCTTCCGCTTTTCTCTTAGGAGAGACTGCTGCTTTTTAACAGTCTAGGATCTTCCACTACTTCAACAGCAGGAAGAGGGAGCAAAGATGATCTACACTAGCACTTACCTCTTTTGTGCTTCCCTTGTGAACGTAGATCCACTTCTCTTGGTGGAAATCTGTTTAAAGACATTTTGCTCAGTTAATCTCTTACTTTGGAAAAGGCTGCATCCCTGTTCTGTTCACACCTTATCGCTGCCCCTTTAGTGCCACTAAAGTTATTTAGTGTTTGCACCTCTGTACCTGAAACCAAAACTAGCAAATGATGAACTGCTTTGTTTCCATATGGCTTAAGCGGCCCTAAGCTGAGACAGTGGCCCTGAGCCTTAAAGAGGTTTTGTTACAGTGATGCAGCTTAAATGTTTAATCTGTCAGCTGCAGATATCCTATAGCAGCTCCTCTTCTCTGGTCCCAGACAGTGAATGTGGCTGACAGCCAGGTTGTGTTGTTATTGATTTTATTAACTATTCATTACCTTGGTTACAGGCTTGGGATTGAATGTCAAAACTGAAGTTGAGCAAAAATGTCATGAGATACCAGGCATGTGGGAGAGCTTTTAGCAGTGAGGTCAGGCTCAGAGGAGGCTTGTGCTTGTAACTAACCTTCTAAAAAAGAATCAACTTGGAATGAAGATTTTCCTTATTTCTAACTTCCCCTCCCTCAGAAAGGAGAGTTAGCC